CCCTCCCTCTCCCCTTTTCTGTCTCCAAAAAACAAGAGGCATTTCCTCCCCCCACCACTCCCACTGCCAAGGGTGGCTTGGATGCCAGGGTGGGGGAGAGTAGGCACTAGGAGTTCCCTTTCCTACCTTTGAACTGGTGCTAGAGTGCTTGCCTGAGTGCTCTTGCATAAGCACACACTAGCGATCTCCCTCTACCTCAGTACTGTTTTAGGTTTCTGGAGGTATTAGGGCCTAGAGATTACTGGAGATAGGAAAATGCCAGTTCTGATCATCTTCAGTTTGCTGCTGGGTTTTACTTTTCAGAGTCTTCATGTAGCCACTGTATGCAATGTGTCCAAGTTTTAGATACAGAATTCAATGGGAGACAGGGCAGCATGAGCCTACTTCATCTTTCCTAGCACTAAACCCCTCACAGTGAAGGATGTATAGGAATAACATGGTCTGAGTTGCCTTTTTTATCATCATTATTATTCTGAAGTTTTGTTTGTTGTTTTGTTTTGTTTTGTTTTGTTTTTTTGAGATGAAGTTTTTTGAGACATAGCCTAAGCTGGCTTCCAGCTAACTATGTAGCTAAGGATGGCCTTGAACTCCTCATCCTCCTGCTTCCACTTCCAAGTGTTGGGTTTAGAAGGGGCCCTATCACACCGTGGTTTATTTGTTTTTAAAGTGTAATTTTTTAATACTTATTATTTTGTTTGTTTGTACCACCGGCTGGCCTGGGACTCATCATATAGCTGAGGGTGGGCCTTGAATTTCTTAACTTGCCTCTACTTCCTGAGTGCTGGGATTACAAGCAGTGTTGCCATACTCAGTTATGTGGTGCTGGGGATAGAACCCAGAGCTTCATGCATGCTAGGCAAGCACTGTGACAGCTGAGCTACACCACCAGCCCATAATGCTTAAATTATATTTTATTTGATTTGGTCTTTTTGAGACAGGGTCTCCCTGTAGCCCCAGCTGTCCTGGAACTCACTATGTAGACCAGACTGGCCTTGAACTCATAGAACTCCGCCTGCCTCTGCCTCCCGAATGCTGGGATTAAAGGTGTGTGCCACCATGCTCTGAGATGCTTAAATTTTGAACGAAAAAGTTTAGTATAGTTAGCATAGACATAGCATAATGTAACAGTAAGTCCAGTGCTGTAGCATCAGCTCTCCCAGAATACACATTCTGTACTTCTTTAGCACGCCTTATTTTTTTTGGATTTTATTTATTTATTTTTATTTTATGTGTATGAGTATATTGCCTGCAATTATTAAGTGCATCCGTATCATGAAATGCCTGCAGAGGTCAAAAGAGGGCGTTGAATCCCCTGGAACTAGAGTTACAGACAGTTGTTAGCCATCATGTGGGTGCTGGGAACAGAATCCACATGGTCTGTTCCAGGTCCTCTGCAAGAGCAGCCAGTGTAATCATGCTTTATTTTCTATATGCCAGTGAAAATACATACAGTTTCTTTTTTAAAAGTAAATTATATCATATTGATCTACAGCATGTTTTCTGTCAGGACATGTAGCTTGGCTCTCTGGTGGTTGCAGATTATTCTGCTGTGTGGATGTCCCATGATTTCCATTACTGATAGATAGTAAACAAATTTTAGGTTTTTTTTTTTTTACCAGTGGAAAGTAGGCCTGGTGACTCAAATCTGCACTCTCAGTTGTAATTTCAGTTGAAGCAGGAGACTCACTGCAAAATGAGGCCATCCTGAGCTACAAAGCGAGTTCTAGGCAGGCCTAGGCTAAAAGTGAGGTGTCTCAAAACAAAACAAAAACACATGAAAAAGTGTTATAGATTCTTTTTTTTTTTTTAAATTTTCTGCTTTCCCCTAATAGAAACCTTTTACCAAGTTAAGAAATATTTCTCTTATTTCAAGCTAATATGTTTTGGGGGATTTTGACAGTGCTGGAATTAAATTTAAGACCTTACATAAATGCCAGGCAAGCATTTTGCCACTGTACTCCTTGCACCAAGATTTCTTTTTTTTTCGGTCTTTTTGAGACAGGGTCTCCCTATAACCCCAGCTGTCCTAGAACTATGTAGATCAGGCTGGCCTTGAACTCCCAAGTGCTGGGATTAAAGGCATGCACCACCACACCCCGCTTACACAAGGTTTCTATTTAAAAACCCAGAATGGATTTCAATTTTCCTAAGCCTTTAAAGATACATGCATTTTAGAAGAGTGACTTGGAGAAGGGAGGCTGGCAGCAGGGTGGTGCAGGGTGAGGTGAGAACTGGGCAGTGCCTGAAACTGCCTGCCTCCATCTGCTGACTTCCTTGACATGAGGAAAAGCTGGGAGGTGTATGTGTGGAGGAGTCTGACAGGCATCCTGGTGTTGCTCTCTAGAGCATTTAGGTAGTTTTGAGTCTCATGTTGTATGAGATCTTTTATGTAATTCTGGCTGAGATTTCCTGAAAGAAGGTGATGAAAGTATTAAGTGGGACCCTATCAGAAGTGGTCCCAGACTTATGATGAGGGTCATTATGGGAGTTTAGTTAAGAAAGCTTTTCACAGAGAGGGAAAGTCAAGGGGAAATGGGGAGAGGCCTTACCCTGCCAGCCTAGAGCGCCCTGCCCCCTCAGACTTGGGTTTGCTTTCAGCTTCGAGTTTGGATAGTCAGTCATTTGTGATGGTGCCACCTGGTGATGAGATGGTGAGGAATTTGCGAACTCTGACAAGCAGATGCCTCAATGGGAAGAACTACTGTCGGCAGATCCTCTGTCTTTATGAACTTGCCAAGGTATGTGCCAAATGGGGATCCTCATGGGAGCTTCCTGAAGTTTCTCTGGACATTTCTGTGGCAGTTCTTAAGATAATAATCTTAAAAGGGCTAGGGATGTAGGTCAGTGGTATAGTAATGCAGGGCCCTGGGTTTCATCTCCAGTGCTACAGGTAAGAAAACATAATCATTACACAAGTCTCTTATTAAGATGTTGGCCCATTTAAGGACTAATGGAAAGGATGTCAGGCCAGCTTCAGTCTTGGCCGTAGCTCAGTCAACACAACCAGAAAGCTAGGGTAAGACACTTAACTTCCATTGGCTCCTGGCTCTGATCTATAAATGCATGAGTCCCTTCTAGACTTCATGCCCAAAGTTTTGCTTCATGACTTAGAACATTTCATGTATTATGTGATGCATATAGACAGAAGTCAGCATGGTGGCTTATGGGGCGTGCACGCTCTCTCTGGGCGCACTCCCCCGAATGGCACTCCCCCGCCAGATATGGGCCTGTGCTCGCTGGGCTCTCTGGGCCCCTGGATCTCGGGGCCCCTGCCACACCTGGCTAATCACTGGAGGGTCTGGCCACAGGCATCTCTGGCCACGGCAGCGGGTGCCCTGCAGGCTTTTCCCGGCAGCTTGGGTCCCGTGTCTCTGGAGCTTCTCTGCTGCAGAAGCGTCGTCCTGCCGAATCCTGTCCCTATTCCACCCGTGTACTTTTCCTCAGGATGCGAGGTCCACTGGCCACTTGGGCCTCGCAGGAAGAAGTACGGGGACAGCAAAAGCTAGGATGTCCACGAGTCGGTAATGAGGGAGTGCGCCCCCCGGAGAGATTGGGCCGCCGGTAGTGACACAAGACTCAAGACTTAGTCTGTGTTACAGCTTTATTCTCTGAGACCCAGCTCTCTGTGTCCCAGCTTTCTGCAGCCCAATTCTCTGCAGCCCAAATCTCTGCAGCCCAAATCTCTGACCATTAAGAGAAGACTAAGGCATTTATACCATGGGGGTAGTGGTAAAAGCTTTGGCTGTTAGATGCTTTGTGAGGCATCCTATTTACATATGGAAGTGGATTTCTGCCACACTGCTAGACTGTTGTCTGCCTGGAGAAATTACAGGAAGGCATGGTACCTTTCAGAGCCAAAGGCCATGTTTATGTTATGGCATTTGTGGCGGACACTTCAAAAGGAGAGACAGGAAAGATGCCAGGAAGACACCCTGCTTATGAAAGGAGCCTGCAGCACATGATCCCGAGCTGCGTGAGCTGTCCAGTGTGAAGGGGCTTCTACTTTGCATAACAGAGGTCTCCAACAGTGGCTCATGCCTGTAATCTCAGCATTTGGGAAGTTGAGGCAGGATTGCCAGGAATTTGAGGCCACCCAGGGCTACAATAGAGAAACCCTATCTCCTCTCTCTCCTTCACCTCCAAAAAAAAAAAGAAAAAAGGAAAAAAATTATATCAGCCAGGGTTCTGTGGCTGTGCTGGTTGATAGAAAAAGTAGACAGAATGCAGAAGAGCATGAGGGAAACAGCGAAACAGGGGAGCCCTTTGCCTTAGGGAAGACATAGGCTTCCTTGGAAACCAAAGGCTTAGCTGCTGCTCTGGGAACAATAAAGGAAGGATGGTCTGTATTTCATTCCATCCTTTTCTATTTTACAGATGATTAGAAAGATGGGTGTTCAAGGAGGCAAGTCACCTGATGCTTTCTGGGTTTGGTTTGGTGAAATAATTGAAGGACTAGAAAGCACTCCGATTCTTCTCAGGGCAAGGATTGTTCAACTCAGGAAACAGTGGTCTGGCTACATTTCAGAAAGTGCTCTTTTGGTTCCACCTGACTTCTAAAATGACTCTGGCTCCTTTATCTTCCTCAGGAGCTGGGTTGTTCCTATGCAGATGTTGCTGCTGGGGATGGTGAGGTCATGCTCCGGGCAATCCTGTCCTCTCAGCAGCCTGACCGATGCAAACAAGCCCAGGCCTTCATCAGCACCCAGGGCCTCAAGCCAGACACTGTGGCTGAACTAGTGGCTGAAGAGGTGACTCGAGAGCTGCTGACTCCATCTGAGGGAACAGGTGCCCTACCCTCCAGATCTCCACAATCGTTCAGATATCATTCTGGGTTTTACACCATGAAAGATTTGAATGCTACATTCATGTACAGTTTGTATGTTGCCCTCTCAAAAGCCCAGATTATTCTCATAAAAGAACACATTATATTCCCTTTGCTGTTGCTTTGTAGCCTTGTGAGTGTGGTTATAGTAATTCTGCCTCTCTAAGATAATGTCTTCTGTAAGATAACCAGTAGGCCAGTGAGCTTCGCAGTGGGAGAGCTGCAGAGCTGTATCAGTATTACTTCCTGGTGTCCAGGCCTAGGCAGAACTGGCCTCCTGGCACTGTGCACTTGTCCCTCTCCCAAACTTATTACCTGTCTCCGCATCTTTTTGTGCAGGACAAAAGCAGATATTCAATGCAACAGAGGAAAGTCAGATATTTCTTCAGCTAACTGCCCTGTGTCAAGACCGCACATTGGTAGGCATGAAGCTGCTGGATAAGATTTCCTCCGTTCCCCTTGGGGAACTGTCTTGCAGTAAGTTCACCTTTTCCTTATGCTTTGAGACTCCTAAAAAGGTCTCCAAAAGATCTTCCAGGGCCATTCTTTCCAAAACTTGAATTGGGTCCTTATTTTTCCTCTCAATACCTAGCCCTCTGGTATAGGTTCTAAGTTCTTGATAGAAAGCCTTAACATTCATTGAAGAGAATTCTGAAGGTATGGAAAAGCACTCTAAAACTTACAACCACAGATCAGTTACCTTTATTTACTTCTGTTTTAAACTGCTGGTGGAGACAGTGTTGTCTCCATTTTAGAAGAGAAGAAACTAAAACTTAAGAGAAGTGGATTAGTTTATAGTTACACTGGGTGGGCATGGTGGCTCCCACCTGCAATCCCAGAGGAGATTGAGACGGGGATTGCCTCAAGGTCCAGAGCAGCCTAGGCTACTGAATGAAACTATCTCAAAAAAAAAAGTTGTGGATCAGAGCTGATATTTGAAATTAGTCTGATTTCAAAGCCTGCTCACTTCCAGGGTTGAGTTCATCTGTATGTATTCAGTCGTATGCTTTATCTCAGACTTTTTCTATGCATGAGTGGGGTTTTTTTGATACTGGCATTATATTAGGCAGATATGTATCTCAGTGGTAGAGCCTAGCATGCAGGAGGTCCTAGGTTCAGTCCCTAGCACCACAAAAATTAAAAAAGGTGTCATACTGTATAAACATGTTTATGCCTTTTTTACTTTATGCATATGCTTCTATTAACATTTTTAAATTTTTATATATACGAGTGTTTTGCCAGCATGTAAGTGCGCCCGTGTGTACAATGCCCAGAGACCCGAAGAGGGCGCTGGATCTCCTGGAACTAGTTACAAATGTTGCAAGCCTCCATGTGGGTGCTGGGAACTGAACCTGGGTCCTTTGCAAGAGCAGCCAGTGATCTTAACTGTTGAGCCATCTCTTTAGCCCCTTATTATCACTTTTCATGAAATTGTGAATAGTCTATAACTTAATGGTTATACAGTATTCTCATATGTAATTAAAATTTAGGTCCTATTGTGGGAACTTCCAGTTTTTGCTATTTGTAAACATGCTGATGAAGTCCTTAGAGGATGAGTGAGAGCTCTCAAGACAGGGAGACTCTTCTCTGCCAGGCCCCTGACACTCCTGCCAGGTAGTCAACAGTGGGCAACAGCAGCAGCTACAGTCCTATCATATGTGTCCTACCCACTCAGCCACAGAGCTCCTGATCCTGGCCCATCACTGCTTCACCCTAACTTGCCACATGGAGGGCATCATCAGAGTCCTACAGGCTGCCCGCATGCTTACAGATAACCACTTGGCTCCCAACGAGGAGTATGGTCTGGTGGTAAGTAGTTCCCTCCATTCCATCTTCCATCTTGAGGCAGCTTTGGAGAGGAGCAGATAGAGGGCCCCAGCTCAGAGCTGATGTGGCCCCAGGGAATTCTGCTCCTCTGAATCCCACATCTCCTTGGTAGTTGGCCCATTGACCTGGTCCTTGGCTCCAGGTTATGATTTCTGTCACATCAGAACTCCATCAAGAGGGCCCTGCCATGTCCCAGGGTATTGTATCCTCTTGCCAGGGCAGTAAGCTTTTCTAGAGGACCAAGACAATAGTGTTTCAACCCCCAAACAAGGTTCAGACCTGTTCTATGAATGAACTACTCAAGCCTCTTGGGCCTCCCCCAAATACTTTGGCCCAGGTAGGAAGTAAACTGTACCACTGGAATGAGGAGTAACAAGAGGAAGCACCTACCCAGAAGGGCACTGTAGCAAAACTCATTTCCAAATCCTTCAGAAGAAGCCCCTGTTGGGTAAATGGAAGGGAATGAAGCCACTAGCCAGGCTCAGCATGGAACTTGGCATCTGAAAGCAATACACTGGTGAGGTTAGTGGTCTGGCTTCAACAGCAGCTCCAGGGGATGCTGATGCAAGGCCCTCCCCTTAGGTGCGCCTCCTCACCGGCATTGGAAGGTACAATGAGATGACATACATCTTTGATTTACTGCATAAAAAGCACTATTTTGAAGTTCTGATGAGGAAGAAGCTGGATCCGGTAAGTGTTCAGTAATTGAGACGTAAACTTCATTGTTCCTGGGAATCAATCTGGGTACATCTCCGGAATGTGCAGGGAGGAAATCAGGGACTTCCCTAGGGTGCACAGTATCACCAGTGACTAGGAGGTGGTGATCTTGATTCTAAGTACTTGGCAAAGTTTGTCCTCCTTTACGTCAGTCTTTTACCCCTAACTACTGTTCTAAAAGATCTTGTTGGGGCTGGAGAGATGGCTCAGCAGTTAAGAGCACTGGCTGCTTTTGCAGAGGACCTGGGTTCGGTTGCCAGCACCCACATGGCGACTAACAACTGCCCTTAATTCCAGTTCCAGGATATCTGACACTGTTGTCTGACTCTGTGGGCATTGCATACAAAGGTGCATTTACATACATGCAGGTAAAACACTCATACACATAAGTAAATATCCTTATTGTGGCAGGGACATAATCCTTAAGGATTTGGCTGAAAGTGGCCTGTCAGTGCTGAGGCTGTGCCCAAGGGCTTCTAGAGGATTTTCAGGGGATCATGAAAAAGTATGCTGCTAAGTGCCAGAAGCCAGAGCCAGAAAACTGTGAGATCCATTGATGGTGACCACTAGAAAAAACCTGGCTGGCTGGTTGGTCTTTGGGCTCAGGGAGCCTCTCTATCCCCAGTATACTCTATGACACCAGGTCTATTAGTCATATATCCTATATCCAAGTCATTTGGCTGGTTTTGTTGCCTCATTTCTCAAGAGCTAAAAACCAAAATAGAACAGTCTAATGTTAGGCCAGTTTGAGGACAATCCCACTGATAGGACAGGAGCAAGACCTAGACATCCTTTAGGATCTTCCCAGGTTTCTTATGTTTTTGAGGCAGTTTTGCATTTAAATATTTAATTTTTTTTCCTGATTACAGAAGTAGTATTACTTCTACTCCTTATAAGACACTTCGAAAATACAAAGTCCTCAGTGTCTGCCATCTGGAGACAGCTGTTGCTGATATGATAGCCCTTTCTTTGTACATCTACCCCTAAACAATATATATTTACATGCTTTGCCAAAACATATTTGCTTTTAAATTATGAACTATCTGACTTTTCCTTTAACATGATATGGCTATTTCTCCAAGTTAAGAACCTCTGGGGGTGAGGTTGTGGTTAAATGGTTAGAGCATGTGCTTAACCCTGGGTTAAGTTTGCAGTACTGAGAAACCAAACCCCTCCCCCCAACACACCCCTCCCCACCCCCCAGTGGTGCACACCTTTAATCCCAGCACTCAAGAGGCAGGCGGATCTTTGTGAGATTGAAGCCAGCCTAGTCTACATAGTGAGTTCCAGGCCAGCTGAGACAAAGGAAAAAAAAAAAAAAAATCATTTCATGGCTACAAGGTAGTCTTAGCCTTTGTTTTGGACATCTAATTAATGCTGCTAAGTATCTCTCTTACATTCTTTTCTCTGCTTCTTTAGGATAGAATCCTAGAAAATAGAATTGGTGAATCAGCGTGTTGTTTTAAGGCTTTGTTCTTCTGATCAGGTTGTACTGATTATATTCCCAACAGCAAAGAGTGTTGCCTGATTCCTTATCCTTAAAACAGCATAATTTTTTGTGGTCACTTTCTTTTGCTCATTTTTTACTTTTTCTTGGATATTTTTAAGGAATTTGTAAAACACAGCCAATCCTACCCTAAAGATCCTAGTTGAGACCTTGGTATTCTATTTTCCTGGGCAGAGTGGTACCCTGAAGACAGCCCTGCTGGACTACATTAAACGCTGCCACCCTGGAGACAGTGAAAAGCACAACATGATTGCCCTGTGCTTCAGCATGTGCCGGGAGATAGGGGAGAACCATGAGGCAGCGGCCTGCATCCAGTTGAAACTGATCGAGTCTCAGCCCTGGGGTGAGAGGTTACCACCTGCACAGCAGTGCTGCTAACCCTGCAAGGTTCTTAGGGCAAAGGTATTTGCCACTTGGTAGCGGCCCAGTTGGTGAGACAGGAGCTGGAAAGGGTACAGGGAAGGCATTTGAATCCTAGGAATGCGAACCTGCCTCCCTGTGAATATGGCTGAAATGTTTCCCTCACCAAATGAGCCAGGAGCTGCTCAGACTTACCAAGTGTCCTTTTTTCTACAGAGGATAGCCTCAAGGATGGACCCCACCTGAAGCAGCTCCTGCTTAAGGCTCTGACTTTGATGCTGGATGCAGCAGAGAGTTATGCCAAGGTAACCACGTAGTGTTATCCATACTGGCCTTGACAAGCCTTGGTGTCTGTGGTAGCAGGAATTTTTGTCCTGAGCTTTTCCAAGTGAAAAGGGAGCATGTAATGGGCTAAGCAAGGGTCAGGGGGAGGGGGTGAGTACAGTACTTGAAAATCCACAGACAAGATGGTAACAAATTCTCTACATGTGCTTCTCTCCACCGTTGTCCCTCAGGACTCCTGTGTACGGCAAGCCCTGCACTGTAACCGGCTCACCAAGTTGATAACACTACAGATTCACTTTCTGAACAGTGGCCAGAACACAATGCTCATCAACTTGGGTCATCATAAGCTAATGGACTGTATCATGGCCTTACCTCGCTTCTACCAGGTAAACACCACTTTGGCCAGTACTGTCAGCATCAGCGCCCTTGATGCTCAGAGATTGAGTGACCTGAGGTTTCAGGGTTGGGGACAGAACCAGGGCAATCCAGTTGAAGAGGTGATTTAGAATGGATGTATATGTGTTTTGTAGTGATGGGATCAAACCTAGGTTTTCACAAATGCCCCACCATTTAAGTCACACTCCTAGCCCAATTCGATGTATGCCTTGGCATGCCTTTTGGGTAGAGGCTAGAGAACTGTGCTACGTCACCGTCTCCTTTCCCCTATGCTATCAGACCAGCAGGAAGGCAGACCTGTTTGGCCCACTAAAACAGGGTTCAGTGTGACATTCTTGGCTTGACCTCTAAGAATCTCTGTTTATGAAATGGTGTACCTAGGTTAGCAGTGGGAACCAAGTTGGTTCTGGCCCTTTAAAGGGATTGCTGTCATTGTCTCTGCCCTTTGGCCATTTCCCGCATAGCTGAAATGGGAACAATTTATTTTCTCAGCAGTTTTGCTACTCCATTGGGAAGATTAAAAAACAAGTAATTTGAGGGGGCTTATGGAGTGGGAACAACTCAGACACAGCCTTTTAACATTGGTAGCAATTCTAATAACACACTGTGTACAGTATTGCTTCCTAGAACCTTTTACCTTTAATTTTACATAGTATGTGCTCTAATGATGTTACCCTTCATCTCTACCTTTTAAGGCTTCTATTGTAGCTGAGGCCTATGACTTTGTTCCTGACTGGGCTGAAGTTCTATACCAAAAAGTGATTCTTAAAGGAGACTTTAATTATCTGGAAGAATTTAAGCAGCAAAAGTTATTACAATCCAATATATTTGAAGAAATTTCTAGAAAGTAAGTGTTAAAAGTTGACTGTAAACGAAGCATGTTGGTACATGTCTATAATCCCAGTACCTAAGACAGGAGGGTCACCTCAAATTTTAGGCCAGCATAATCTGTATAGCATGTTCCAGGCTAGCCAGAACTACATATAGAGACACTGTTTTAAAAAAACACAAGCTTGCTGCGTGTCAGAAATCCTAAGGAAGTGCCTTTTGCAGTATTAAATTTATTCTGATTACAGTGAACACTGTCGTACTTATTTCTAATGAAACAAATTCATCAAAAGCCAATTTTAGTACATGACAATTTCCCGGGCAATAGCACCCTGACCTCTACAGATAGCAGTGTCAAAGCTGATAGCCCTCATTGCTGATACAGTATTTAACCTTTACCTTCTTGTTTGTGTAGATATAAACAACACCAGCCCACTGACAGAGCCACAGAAAACCTAAAGAAGTTACTTTCGTATTGTGAAGATATCTACCTGTATTACAAGTTGGCATATGAACACAAATTTTTTGAAATTGTAAATGTGCTTCTGAAGGACCCTCAGACAGGATGCTGTCTGAAAGATATGCTTGCAGGTTAGAGGATTTCAAAGGTGCCTGTTTGCTTTATTGTACTGATAGCAGATGTTCATGATCATAACAGAGTAACGTCTTCGGATCCTTGTCCCTATTTGAATTGAAAAAGCCCATGAATATACCACACCAGTCCTCTGTGACTGTAGGCAGTGAAGGATAAACTTCATAAGGAAATTCCTATTTTGAAGTGATTGTTATCTCTACTATTATATAGAGATACTAAAATCAAACAATTCCTGTTGGGATGGCTTCTGCCTGAGAAGGAGATATACAGTGATTAAAGAATACCTGTGCCTGCAGATTCCAGTTCAAAGAAATTTAATATTATTTACACAATTAAGGAACAGGTGATACATTTTTATTAGTTAGAAACTCATCTTTCTATAATAAAATAGGTTTTAAATTCAGTGTATGTCGTTGTTACTGCTAAGGAACTCTTAGCCCTTGTCTGCCTTCAACAGTATTTACTGTAATTATTGCTGTGTAGTCACGGCCTTCTATTAATTCCTCGTCATTTTAAATGGTCCTGTTTTCCACTTAGTCTACAGAGGTTTGAGGTTTCTATTGCCTATGGAAGAGAAATTAGAAACATTTTTTTGTTCTTGTGACAATTAAGGGGACAAAAAAATAACCACAAATTTGGTTAAACTGCCCAATTTATGCTTACAATGAAAACCTAAGTAGTAGGGGCTCCATTACTACAAATAAATAGTTTCTGCAGGTAATTAATTAGGCCTTAGTATCTAAACAACAAAATAATTTCCCCAATAAAAAAAAAGGACAAAGGCGACCTTACACTTGTTGCTCTATAGTGATACTGCTAAAGACCTGGCAAATCATTCTTGTTTTAAAGCTGTAACTACATCAAGCATTGATTAAGCTTTAGTATTACAGAAAATTTTAGTCCCAAGAGTTGCATTTTGTAGTCTTCAAAAACTATCTCTTGGGAGATAACACAAAATTTAAGTCCTCACAATAGTGATTTTATTAAATTAGTTGCTTTATAAAACATTGCAGATGTCATAATTGTTAACATAACAATTTACCAAACTGTAGTTAACTGGTGCAGTTTGCTGAGCATGTTTTATAAAGGAAAGGAAATGCCAAAACCCTGTTAAGTTTTTCCATTGCAACCTAGAATAACAATAGAGATTTGTTTCTCAGACACTTGAATCAGGCAAATAAAAACAGAGTTCCCTCCCCCATCTGAAGTACTCCACCAGTAGAAATAGTCTGATAAATAAAAACTAGACAGTCAATGCACTTGAGAGAGTCCACAACTTGCACTGTAATATTGGAGAGATTTACCTTCTTCCGCTTCAAAGATGGGAGGGTTTTGGTCATTAAAATTTAAGTATCAAACTAGTACTTTTCACCCGCAGTATCTTCACTCTGAGATAAGCAGTCTTCTTCACAATGTATTTTAATATCCTCATGTTCAATTTTAAGACAAAGCAATTTTAATACTAGGTGCACACCACATGCCCTTGTTGCAAACTGCTTTTTCTTGACAAGTTATGAAGTAGTTCAAGGAGGTATGGTTAAGGCTGTATTACTGAATGGTGCTGGTAAATACTACCCAATTTTTTTTGTCATGTTGCGACCTTTGTTTCCAATTTAGTGACTGCTGCTATGGAATCAGATAGCAACAATGACAACATTATTAGATTTGTTTTTAAACTATGATTTAGTAGCAACTGAGGCTCCCAATTTTAACCCCTTGGCAACAAGATCCAAGTTCCCTCATTTGCACATTAGCACCTAAGTGTCAAGGGGTTAAATATCCAGCACAAAAGATACTGCACTTCTGACTGTAGCATTTGGCAGAACTGAAAGGAAAGGAAGTTGTGCTACATGTTGAAGGGATTGTGGGCAACAGAAAGAAGACACCAGAAGATAAAATGTCACATGAAGTCTTCATAGTCTTGTACATATCCTCCATCATAACCACCATAATCTGCCAGATCGTCTTTCATGGTGGCCTTTAATCCCCCTCCAGGAACCACGCCTTTCTTCTTCTTTTTGGCTTTGCTTTGCTAGAAATGAAGGAGAATCAATTCATGAACCTTTCTCTGCTATGGGCATCCTATCTGCTACAGCAAACCCTCATAGAGATGCTAAAGTCTCTAGTGCCAGAAAAATTGATTCTTTATGGGAAATCTAAAGCTGGACCTACAACAGCTTTAATAACTCAGAAAAGAGGAACAGAAATGTCTATAACAGGATACCAGGCACCATATTCCTGCTCTAGCATAACTTAAATGGGGCTAGTGAACAGCATTAACAGGCTCTTTACTCTGTTGAGAAAATTCAACCCAAAGCTCAATTCTAATGTCACATTTTTCCTACATAGCTTGCTCTTACCTTTTCTTGCTTCTGTTTTTCACTGCAAAGCACAGTCAATGAATTGGTAATCTTTTTCAAGTCATCAATTTCCACTAAAAACAAAAAAGTTACAAGTAATACTTTTAAGCATTTTCAAAAATAAAAGCAAAATAGACAATCTTCTAAAAGTATCAGAGAAATATAATTTGCCCATCATTAAACTTAGGTACCTTTAAAACAACTGTGAATTTCTCCTTTTTAAACATTAGATGGTAAGGAACTATTCAGCCTATAACTAGGCTCATAGATTACAACACCCTAAAGTAAAATGGTTAGGTAACAAAATTTTACTTTATAATGACTATAATTACAGACATACCACTCTTAAACCAAAGAGATATTAGATGTCTTTAGAGTTCCTTCTTCAGTCTAAAGAGAGAAGGGAGAACCCAACCATGCCCTTCTGTAACACAGCCTCTATGCCCACTGAGGAGGAGCAGCTAAATGAACAGGTAATGACAAGGATTTTGTGTTTCTGAGACAGGGTCTCATTATGTAGCCCTGTTAAGAGGCAGATCCCGGTGGGCCTCTTTTAAGTGCTGGAGTTAAAAAGGTGTGTGCCACCATACCTGACAGAATGACAATTCTTCAACCTGCAAGTAACAAGCACCTACCCCAAGATGTATTTTCTAGCTTGGGAATTAGAATGTTGTTTAGTGGGTAACACAGCCTGCTTTTCTTATTAAAAAAGTGAAACTGGGGGCTGGAGAGATGGCTCAGCGGTTAACACCACTGACTGATCTTACAGAAGACTGGGGTTCAAATCCCAGCACCCACATGGCAGCCAACAACTGTCCATAGCTCCAGTTTCCGGGGATCCAACAGCCTCGTCTGTCCTCCTCGGGCACTGCACAACTTGGGTGCACTTACTTACATGCAGGCATAACATTCATACACATAAAATAAAATAAATAAAATATTTGAAATAAAAAAGGGAAACTGGAAAAACATCAGTTCTTAGCTACAGAAATTGTGCCAGAGTTGGTTAAAAAGTGCACCTCAGAACAGGAAAAACAGTACATGTGGAATGAAAGAACACCTGTGGGTAAATCACTGCTTACACAGAGAATCCCCTGCTTAGTGATCATTATTTAATGTTAATGATCGCTCATAATTATGATTCCTTTTCCTCAATCTTTTTTTTTGAGACAGGGTCTCCCTGTAGCCTCAGATGGCCTGCAACTCACTATGTAAACCAGACTGGCCTTGAACTCAGAGATCCACCTGCCTCTGCCTCCCAAGTGCTGGGATTAATGGCGTGCACCGCCATGGCCAGCCCTTTTTCTCAATCTTTAAAACAGCAAATGCTAGCAAAACCAGTCTCCTTCCACATTAATGCTGTGACACTCTTGACTGTCAATCCCTGAATCCTGCTGAAACATGTGACTCCTCTGGGTGTGGTGTTCCAGTCCCAGAATATGGAAGCCAGCTGTGAGCAACCTGGACCTTGCCTCACAAGCTTTTATTTATACAATAGGTAGCTGCTGAGGTCTCACGCAGCTCTAAAACTCTAGGAGCTCCACAGTCTTTTCCCTCTAAAGGTACTTTGTAGCCCCTTTAAGGAGATAATTGGATAAAAAAAGGTCAAACCTGAGTTTTAGGACCTGCTTTGTATGGCATAAACCCAACTGTCTCTGGGAAGCCACTATAAAAGTAGCCTGCCACCTCACCCACAAATACCTCAAAATTAAGTGTATGGGACAACATAATTCCAAAAATATCTGCTGAAAAACAAATCATACATTATAGAATTAAAAGAATTTATAAACCCCATCCATTTTCCCAAGTATGATGTCCATAATAAGAATCTAAAAACAGGCTAAAAATTAGAATTACTTACAGGAAATACAGACATCTCGAACTAAAGCTTCCAAAAAGCTGGCATAATATAGTGATTTTTCATATTGTGTAATTTTATCTTTTAGTAACTTTCCAAATTCTGTGAAGTCATCTCTTGAAGATGGGTTCATAGCATCTATTCCATAAACTGTATTATTAACACCTGTAGAAGAGAAGAAACACTGAAAATATTAGGAAGGTAAGATATTTCTAAAGTTTATAAATGAGGGGCTGGTGAGTTGGCTCAGTTGGCACTTACCTCGAAAGCCTGATAACCTGAGCTGGATCCCTGGAATCTGGAACCCATGCAAAAGTGGAAAGAACTGACTCTGACTCTACAAAATGATTTTCTGACCACTACACTCCCCTCCCATAATAAGATATAAATTTAAAAGAAGTTTATATATAACCCCATTACTTCATTCTAAAGCAGGCTTTTCTCTTTTTTTTTTTTTTCTTTTTTTGAGACAGGGTCTCACTGTGTAGCCCTGGCCTCACCAGTGCTGGAATCAAAAGGTGTAAGCCACCATGCTTGGCCCAAAATAGGGCTTTCTAACTTGGGCCAGTTGGAGCCCTTTCACAGAATTCAGACAAGGGAGATTTGTGAATTCCAATTTAGAATTTCCTTCCATTTTTATTTCAGGCAATAAATCACAGTAAGAGATTGCAGATAATTTCATATCACAATACAGTTGGTAGGTAGCTTACAATACTATCCATTGATTATTTTCTTCTTTTTGGGGGGGGTCTTTTTTGAGACAGTGTCTCCTTGGTAGCCCCAACTGTCCTGGAACTCACTATATAGACTAGGCTGGCCTTGAATTCAGATATCCACCTGCCTCTGCCACCTGAGTGCTGGGATTAAAGGCGTGTACTACCACGCCCGGCAAGAATACTTCTAAATTAAATACAAATACACTTTTTAAAAAAAAGCAGAAAAGAGATGAGTGTGGTAGCTTCACCACACTTCTAATCTCAGCACTTGGGAGGCAGAGGCAGGTGGATCTCTGTGAGTTTGAGTCCAGCTGGTCTACATAATGAGTTCCAGGCCAGCTGGGGTTACAGTGAGACCCTGACACAAAAAGACCAAAAAAAAAACAGGAAAGGATTAAAACTATAAAAATGATCAGTTAACTCCTAAAGTTAAGCAGAGGTGAATCACAGCTTAAAACCTGAGAGAAAAATTAATCTAGCCTAAAATAATTCTAGGCTAAAAGACAAATGTGTTTCAGCACCCTTCTCAATGTCAAGTAAGTGATCTGCTAACAGTATTAAATTCAGTGTTTCAGTATGAGAAAGAGTAAACTCCTCCTTACCAAACAGTGACTATATGAGAGCATTTGTCATTTAATCTTTACCTGGCATCCCACATGTGGCTTTCTGCATACTCAATATACCTGTACACAGGCTGCTCTAACATCCTATGAGGACACAGAGTAACAGCCAAGTACTCTCCCTGACTAGATGAGTACTTTTAAGACTGTCAAGCACACAGGATCACCCACAGTCACAGCTGACATCACAAGAGACCCACTGAGAGAGATGTTCATACTTCCCTAAGAAAGGGGAACAATCAACTGCAGCCAGCCTCTTGTACTCCTAGAGAAGGTCTAGAATAACTAGGCCCTTCAAATTCAAAATTATTTATTTCAATATGATCTACTCTGTTTTGAAAAGTATTCACATCTGGTAACAAACCAGGTAAATGAAGTAAAGGCTTTCTCTATTTTTTTTTTAATTTTTTAAATAAATTTTTTATTAAATTTTTGTGTATTTCATACAGAAAATCATCTTTACACCTCCTTCCCCTTTGGTATCCTCCCATAGTCCGCCCCCCTGACACAGGAGTTCTTACATTCTGTCATTTGTATTAAAGCCTACTATGTAAACTTAGTGCCCTGAAATGTCCCTCAGTGCAAGTTCATCCACCGGAGTTTAGTCAGCCTATCTAGTCTCTCCCTTCAAGAATATCAGGTCTTCCTCACCCAGCAGTATTCAGCTGCCAATAATTCTTACACTAGAGTTGAGGCTTGCTGTTCATTTCCACAATTCTGTGCTGTTTTTTTTGTCTGTCTAAGTTTGTATGGGTCTTTTGTAACTTTCTTCTAGCCATGTAACTCTCCTAGAACACTATGAATGTATCCATTTATGTAAGATATTATTACATTTACCTTACTCATTAACTATAGCTATAGGCATGTTACACAGAAATGGTGGCCCCTGAAAGGTAGGGCATTGTAAAGGCCAAGAAAAATCACAGAAAGAAACAAACCTCAACACAAGACAAGGCCAAAACCAAATGTTCCATCTAAACCAGCATGCTACTATGTCCAAGTCCTATGCAGACTTAAGAGGATAGCTCTTTTTAGTATTTAAAAAGGCTACAGACAGCAGATTCCATCCAGCTGATAGATTCTAGGCAACAATATATTTTAGACTCTAGGCAACAGTGTATTTTATTGAGTCTAATGACTTGGGGGGGGGGGAATATGGGTTGGAGGAGACATGGTCTTGCTACATAGCCTGTGCTGGTCTCCAACTTCTGACCCTCCCTGTCTCAGTTTCCCAAGCCCTAGGATTACAGGCCACACCACACTTATGGGCACAATGACTTCTTATAAAATCTTCTGATTCTCTCAAAAATTACTCAAAAGTCTGAACATGTGCCTCTATCCTCCAAAGTAATGAAATCTCAAATATATACTAAGAGATTAAAACTGCTTTCTGGGGCTGGCTCAGTGGTTAAGGGCACTCACTTGCTCTTGCAGAGGACCCAGGTTCCAGTCTCAGCACCCACATGGCAGCTAACAATGGTCTGTAACTCTAGTTCCAGGGGATCTGATGCCCTATTCTGACGACCACAACATGGGTACACCTACCGACAATGTAGGACATGTAGGCAATACACTCATACACATAAAAATAATAAAATATTTAAAAAACTGCTTTCTGATATCTAAATCTAAATGTGTCTTTTTTTTTTCCTCCCTTTTTAACTTTCACAACTGGTAAGACTGGCAGTTTTTCACCTGGAATAGTTGAACAATACACTGCATTCACACCCAACCATCTTACCAAAAGTTTCTTTTGCTAATTCAAGGTCTGACTCTTCTTGTAATTTCTTTAGTCGAAGTTTATCTGCTAATTGCTCTTCAGGTGTTAGCACTTTAGGTTCTTCAGGCTCTTCTAACTAAAATGAAACAAGTTTTACAAAAATTGGACTTACGGTAGACACATTTTATTATATGAACTTTTATATCAGCACTTCTAAATAAGCACTTACAAAGTGATTACAGTTATTTCAGTGTTCTTCTAACCACTTTAGATGATCTCAATTGTACAGATGAAACATGGAGGTACACAGAGATTAAACAACTTGCCCCACAGTAATAGAAAGCAACATCTAGTTATATAACAGGTAAGATTTGAACCCAGGACGGTAGAGGATACTTCCATAACTTTTTTTAATTTTCTGTGTATGAATATTTTGCTTACATGTGTTTAAGTGCACCCATATCATGCAATGCCCATGGTGGACAGAAGATGGCATCAGATCCCCTGGAACTGGAGTTTCAGACGGTGGTTAGCCGCCATGTGGGTGTTGGGATTGGAGCCCGGATCTTCTACAAGAACAGCCACTGTTCTTAACTGCTGAGCCATCTCTCCAGCCCTCAACTACTTACTTTTAAAGAGAGTTATTTTTTAGTTAAAGATAGTTATTTTTAAAGATAGTAACTCCAGTTCCAGGGGATCCAACACATTGCAAAACATGGGTGCACTTATATACATGCAGGCAATACACCCATACAAGCAAAATAAATAAAAATAATAAAATTAAAAATTGGGAAGTAAAAAGTTGAGATTACAGGCAAGATGAAAATGACACTCACATACTGCTATAACTAAGACTGTATGTATTGAAACCACCTTTCTAAGACAATATAGAAACATGCATCTGGTATCTTAAAACACTTCTGTATGTTTTCATTAAGCAATTCTCAGGTATTTATCTTAAGAAAACCTAAGATACAGAGTGGAAAGATGGCTCAGTGGATAAGAGCACTGGCTGTTCTTCTAGGACTGGGCTTCAGTTCCCGGCGCCCACATGGTGGCTAATGACCGTCTGTTACTCTAGTTCCAGGGGATCCAAACTCCTCTTCTGGCCTCCATGGGCACTGATTGCATACATGTGGCATACTTAGATTCATACATAAAATAAAAATAAAAAATGTAAAAAAAGAACCCTATGATACACACCAATGAAGTATTATTTACAATTTCAAGTAAATTTAGTGACATCCTAGATGTTCAACTACAGAGTGGTTACAGAATGTCACCTTTATCTGACGATGGAGGCATTAAAAATATTTCCTTCCAGGAGTTGTGGCACAAGCCTTTGAAACCAGCACTCGGGAGGCAGAGGCAGGCAGATCTCTGTGAGTTCAAGGCCAGCTTGGTCTCCATAGTGAGTTCAGGCCAGCTGGGGTTACAGGGAGACCCTGTCTCAAAGACCCAAAACAAAATTTCAATGCATCAGGGGGAAAAAAAAAAAAAGGCCCTATTATGTTACATAGTTATAACTATAATCAAAATAACAGATGTTACACCACAGTAAGTTTTCACTTATTTCCGATCCCTTTAGAAGGATAAGTTTGATGTCTTTTCTGTACATGGTAATATAATTTTCTATAAACATTTGTTATAGTTCCTGTAAGGGAAAAGTCTTGATAATATTTACTGTAGGGAAAGTGAATGAACCCAATTCCTTAGGCTGAGTTATGATTCTACTGCTTACTCTGATCACAAAAGCACAGAGGTACTTTTAAATATTCAAATTATTTTTAAAAATATCTAAAATGTTCCCAGCTGGGGGAAGGAGAAGAGATAGACACTTGTATTATTGGCAAACTCAGAAAAGCACAACCCCATATGGAGGACAATTTGGGAACATTAAGATTACAAATGTGATTTACCCTTTACCCTTTACTCAGCAATCCCATGCTTGGGAATTTATCCTAAAACTTAAATATGCCTTTTGGAAATGACAACATGTATATATGTGGTTACTCAAGAATTACTTATCAAACAAAAGACTAATGAAAAACCCCAACTATTTACGGAACTAGTAAAGTTATGAAATGATGACGCATCTACGCAGTAGAGTAGTATATAACTACCAAAACCAACCAAAAACCCACAAAAAAAAACCCCAAAACCCTGAGTTAGAGGGCTCGGGATGTAGCTCAGGGATAGAGAACCCAGGGGTTCAACCCCAATACTGAAAAACAAAAAAACAAAATAATAAGAAATTAAAACATTTTTTACAGATGTTAGGAGAATGTAGATAAGTGCAACTTCCCTCACTAGGCTTTATTAAGTTATAATCAATACTATATTTCACAGTGTACATGTTTGATAAGTACACATTGTGAAATGATTAAAGCAACAAATTAGTTTATCACCTCAAATGCTTTTATTTTTGTATGTTGAAACTTTTAAGATCTATTCTTTTCAATGAGGCCTTTATGAGTCCAAAATTTTTGTAGTATTGACTTCTGAACTTTTTTTTGTGTTTAAAACAATAAAATTAAATAAGAAAAATAACTTAAGCTTAGCATGCTGATACATACCTAGAATCCTAGAACTCAGGAGATAGAGGCAGGAGGATCAGAAATTCAAGGCCATCCTCAGCCACTTGGAGAATTTGAGCTACAGGAGGCCCTGTCTCCGAAAAAACAAAATAAAAAAAACCCCCAGCCAGGTGTGTGTCATATACCTTTAATCCCAACACTCAGGAGACAGAGACAGATCTCTGTGAGGTCGAGGCCGGACTGGTCTACATAGTGAGCTTCAGGCCAGCTGTACCTGTAGGGAAATCCTGTCTCAAAATAACAATGGGGGTGAACCCCAGAAATGAACATATGAATAATATACCAAACTATGTATAAAGTGACATCAGGAAAATAATGAAATGATATGAGAACCTAAAACTTGATGAATGTAAACCCTAGCAGTATATGTAGTATTTACAATTGTTTTTAAAAGGTAAGATATAGTCTTAATTTGAAAGAATTACAAAAGGAATCCTAAACTCCATTGAGCAGTTTTATGCACTTATACTACTATAGAAAAAAAAGCAAACAATTAGGTTAACATTAGAAATTAGTTTGGCTTTTTTTTTGAGTCAGGGTCTCCCTGTAGCCCCAGCTGGCCTGGAACTCACTGTGTAGACCAGGCTGGCCTTGAACTCACTGAGATGGGCCTGCCTCTGCCTTCCAAGTGTTGGGATTAAAGGTGTGTGCCACCAAGCACAACCCAGCTTTTTTTCTTCTTTTTTTTTAAAGATAGGGTCTGGGGTTTCCAGGTTACTAAAGATAGTAACCTGGGCTGGCTGAGATTATATAGGTGTATAATCACAATCTAAGCTCGTATGTATTTGTTTGTTTACTGTGACAGTCCATCTGTAGCTGAGGGTGTCCTCAAACTTGGACCACTCCTGCTAGGATTACAGGCATGCACCACCATACTTGGAACTGAATGTTTTTATCCTTATATATACTCAAGCATTTACACATACACGCACACACGCACAGAGGACCTGGGTTCAGTTCCCAGCACCCATGTGGCAGCAAACAACTGTCCTTTAATCCAGTTTCAGGTGATTCAGCATGCACACACAGAGGACCTGGGTTCAGTTCCTAGCACCCATGTGGCAGCAAACAACTGTCCTTAAAACCAGTTTCAGGTGATCCAATGCCCTCTTCTGGCCTCTCATTGAGCACTGCATGCACAGGTACACTTAACGTGCAAGCAAAACACTCATACATAGGCTGGGTGTGGTGGCAAACACTACTAGTCCCAGCACTCAGGAGGCAGAGGCAGGTAGAGTCTCTGTGAGATTGAGGCCAACCTGGTCTACATAGTGAGTTATCAGACCAGCTAGGATTACCGAGAGTAAAGAAATTGGAATTCCTGTGCTAGCTAAATGGGTGTGTAAAATGTAACTGTGAAACATAGTATTGTGGTTCCTCAAAAAATAAAGGAATTTGACCCAATTAAAACACAACAAAAAAAAACAAACACTGTCCCTACTCATATACATAAAAAAAATTTTTTTTAAGTGGTGAAACAATATATACAGAAATATATAAAACATCTTGGTAATATTAAGAAACTAGTATTTATTTGTAAGAAAGAAGGAAAGCTACAGAATGAAAAGTAAAGCGTTAAGAGTGCTGTTATGTTTTGGTGTCCTGAATCACATAAATCTGCTTTTATTTAAAAAGAAAATAAATACTACATTATTCCTAGATCCTGCTACAAATTATCAAGAAAACCATTTATACAGTACATGACAAAGAAACAAACACTTTGCTCAGTACGTCCACTGTATATAATTATGACTAGATGGGCTAGAGAGAGGGCTCAGTGGTCAAGAGCACTGGCTGCTCTTGCAGAGGACCCTGATTAGATTCCCAGCATCCACATGGTGGCTAACTCCAGTTCCAGAGGATCTGATGCCTTCTTCTGACCTCTGAAGGCATTGTATGACACAAGTACACTTACATATATGCAGGCAATACATATAAAATAAAACACAAAAAAACACAAATCTATTTTTTTCTGGGATTCACCTATCTTATAGTATACCTATTTAGTCCTTACCAAGTCCTTCAAAATGCTAGATAACACTGCAGCCAGCTTAGACACTGTACCATGACAGCTGCAATTATGAATTCTGTGTGCACTTTAGAAAACTGACAGAACTTACCCTCTTTTTAATTTCTTCTTGCCTTTTCTTCTGTTGTCGTTCTTTCTCTTTTATCTTCTCTGCTATTTTTTTCTTTTCTGAAATTTTTATTTCTGAAAAAAATGTTTTATTTACATTTATGTTGAATATTTTACAGTTTATGGCTAAGACAGACATAATACTTGAAGAGCCCAAACCTTTCCTAGCTTTCAGATTCGTATGGTGAGACCCTAGAAAGGAGAAAGTTCTGTACACTTCCTTTTCCTTTCTAACCTGATCCCTAAAGATCCAAACGTCTCCCTTTCTTTAAGAAGGACTGAAACTATTCAAATAACCCTCTACTCTTGATGGCCTCCTTACATGAACCAGCAGTCAAACAGAAAAGCAGCAGGTATCTAATCTTGTTTTGAGAGGTCTGAGAAGAGCCACAGGAAAAAGAAAACAGTGAATGGAGGAACACCTGGCTTAGAACAATGGAGAAGTAGCAGTGGCTCACCTGGTTTTACCTCTGCTTCCTCTTTTTTTTCATCATCATCGTCATCCCAGTTATCCTAAAGAAAAGAATCTCCATTAATAATTCTTACATGTTTTCTTTTCCATGTGATCTCTATTATCAACTTGTCTAACTTCACAGAAACAAGCTTATTGGTATTCTTTTGGTGGTACATTAAATGAACTGATGTCTTTATAACAGTAAGCCCCTTAACCAAGGTTTATCTTCCTGTTTTTTCAGTTTACTTTTGTAACTCAGCAGTGTAAGAAGTTTCACATGTTTCTCTTTGGTTTGTTGCTAGTATTTAAGTTCTTATGTTTCCCTTGCCCCCATCATGTTCTGTAACCATTTGTGTTTAGCAAAGGCTACTGGGTTTTGAATATTAATATTTGAGGGCAGGGTTTCATGTAGCTCAGGATGCTTTGAACTCCTGATCTTTCTGCCTCCACTTCCCAAGCTCTTGAATATTAAATTTATTACTTAAATATTCTTTAAGGCTTTCTAATCCCAAAATCTGTAGTGTTTCAAAACTTTAAAACATTTTTGAGTACCACAAGAATATTCCACACCTACTACAGGACCTAGCGGTACAGGCCTATAATCCCAGCTACTTAGGAGGCTGAGGCAGGGGGATCCTGCCTCAAGGTGTACCTGCATAACAAAGAGTTCAGGGACAGTCTGGGCAACTCAGTGAAATCCTGTCTCAAAACAGAAGTGAAAAAATAGCCACAGTGGTGCATACCTTTCATCCCAGCACTAGGGAAGCAGAGACAGGTGGATTTCTGTGAGACTGAGGCTAGCGTGGCCTACATAGCAAGTTCCAGGCCAGTTGGGGCTACAGGGAGTCCTTGTCTCAAAAAAAAACAAAAGTGGGGGGGTGCTAGGGAATATAATTCAGTGGTAGAGTCCTTGCCTAGAAAACACAAAAAGCTAGGTTCAATCCCCAGTACAATAGAAAATTCATACCTAAGCCATTGATGAGACTTTTAAGATAAATCACATATTAAAAAAGGAATTTCTTGGGTCCTATCTCCAAAATAGGTTAAATATACACACTTCCAAGATAACATTTTACACATACATACATACATACACACCCCAAAATCTGAAGAAAAAAAAAAATCCAGAAATCAAACACTTCTGGCCCCAGGCCTTTTGGATAAGGCATATACAACCTGTACATCACCTGCAAACAAAATACATATACTACTACTTGACTAATTCTTCTAACTGTAGTGATGACTAGCAGAGATAATGGGCATCCTTGTCTCCTTCATCTCTTAATGAAATTGGCTCTAGCATGTCTCCATGAAGTCTTATGCTATGTAACCCACCAAATTTAGAGTCAAATCTTAAGTTGCTACTTTTGTTGCCTCTGGATTTTGGTTAGTCAAATAATCTCATATCAAAGAATTCACCCACATTTTCTTTTAGAATGTAGTTTCATTATTCTTTGTATTTAGATCCCTGATCCATCTAGAGTAAATAAAAAAAGCACAGATCTAACATTTTCCCAAACAGCTAGCCAGCTGTCAAGTATCAGTTATGAAAAATTTTCTTTGCCCTATGGTTATCAAATATTAAGTTCTCACATAGGTCTATTTCAGCTATCCAACCATTCTATTGTCTCTTCATTTATCATTACTATATTGGAGTTTCTGTTTTTTTTTTTATTTTTTTGAGACAGGGTCTCCCTATAGCCCCAACTGACCTGGAACTCCCTATGTAGACCAGGCTGGCCTCCATCTCACAGACATGGGTGGGTTTTTGTTTGAGATAGTGTCTCACTCACATAGCCCTGGCTGTCTTGGAACTTCAGTCTGGGCTAGCTTCAAACTTGTAGTGAGCCTCCTGCCTCTGCCTTCTGAGTGCTAAGATTACATGTGTGAACTGCCATCCCACTCAGTACCATACTATTTTCATCATAGCGGCTTTATAATATGTTTAATGTCTGCCAGGGCTAAGTCCCCCTTTTAAGATTTTTAATGTTTCCCTGACAAACATGTTTGTTTTTCCCTATGACCTTTTATATCAACTTAACTCCACAGAAATGTTTAATATCAATTAAAATACAAGACAACTGGGCCTGGAGAGATGGCTCAAGTGGTTAACAGCACTGGCTGCTCTTACAGAGGGTTGGGTTCAGTTCCTAGCACCCACATGACAGCTAACAACTGTCCATAACTCCAGTTCCAGGGGATTCAGCATCCTCTTCTAGCCTCCATGGGCACTACACAAATGTGGTACACTTACATACATGCAAGCAAAATATTCATATACATAAGTATGTGAGTATGTACAAATGAGTGCAGTGCCTATGAAAGCCAGAAAAAGATATCGGATCTCTTGGAGCTGAAGTTACAGGTACTTGTGAGCTGCCAATGTGGGACTGAACTCAAGTCTTCTGCAAGAATAGTAGGTGTTCTTAACTGCTGAGCTGTCTCTCCAACCTGCTCTACCCTATGTAACCCAAAATGGCCTTGAACTCATGCTCCTTCTGCCTCCCTTTACCAAGTCCTGGGATTACAGGCATGTGTGTACTACCACATCAAGTTTAGCAGTTGTTTTAAATTAAGATTGAAAGAACTTTACTTCATTTATCAGATACACAAAGTATTCCATACTCTAGCCAATCGGTCATTTATTTCAAGCAGTATTTCCTGCAACACAACCCTAGTTAAATTACGTAACACTTTTAAGCCCAATATTAAAGATGAGTCAAGAGCTAATTAAACCTATATGGTTCTGATTCCCTACGCTGGGTAGGGCACTTTGAGGTAGACCTACAGTCTTTTCTATGCCTAACTTAATCACGGAGCTAAATATAAACCCATTGTCAAGGTTTATATTATATTTAAAGGCTCTATAGAAATTCAGAAGATTCAAGTTTAATAGGGATAAAGACAACTCTCAATTTGAACTGAGTTTTAATCTATGGTAGCTGGAACATGATCCCAGCAACCATCAGGGCACAGTGTGATGCCATTTGAGGATGAGCCATAAAGAGGACGATGCAAAGCAGGAGGCCCTGATGCTAGTTGAAGAGGCAAAGGCTGACTAATGAGCCACAGCTATGGCACAAACATAAGCTTTTGGCTTTATAGCAAGACACATCACACATCTAAATCAGTCTGGGTATATAAACTAAACCTTGGTTCTTAAAGAAAAGTTCATTAAGTCCAACAAAGAAATTAGAAATCCATCGTCTGATTAAGGCTGCAATGGAGTCTGCAAGCAGAGAAGGAAGAATTGTATATAATACCAAATATATTTTTATAATCATTTACTTGTAAATTGAACCCACAGTTCAGAATTCAGATTGAAAATAAACCAATTAGTCATTATTTGAATAACTAAAATACCTAGAGTTAGAAATTAAGGATCAAATGTTTTTATTAACTTGCTGGTGTGTACTATTTATTATATCAAAACTGTGGTATAGCCGGGCAGGGTGGCGCATGCTATAGTAGTCCCAGCACTTGGGAGGCAGAGGCAGGCGGATCTCTGTGAGTTCAAGGCCAGCCTGATCTACACAGTGAGTTCCAGGACAGCTGGGGCTACAGGGAGACCCTGCTTCAAAAAGACCCTGTAGTACAAAAAGAACTGAAGAGCTTTTAAAAAACGGAAACTAAGTTGGGTGTGGTGGCGCATGCCTTTAATCCCAGCACTCGGGAGGCAGAGGTAGGCGGATGTCTGTGAGTTCAAGGTCAGCCTGGTCTACATAGTGAGTTCAAGGTCAGCCTGGTCTACATAGTGAGTTCCAGGACAGCTGGGGCTACAGGGAGCAAAAAGACCCCCAAAAAAAGGAAGGTAACTGCCAAGCATTTTGGTTTGTGATATGCTGTTTAGGCAGTGCTTCAGGAGGGCAGTGATTACAGGGAGCACAGATTCACAATGAAACTGTGACAACAGCACATATTGAAACACTCACTTTGCAGCAGAAATTTGTGCAGAGCTTTTAACATTAAGGTTAATCCTCACAACACTCTTGAACAGGAATAAGGTAGCATCATCCTCATTTTACAGATAAACTGACTCCCAGACACAGCCAGCACACAATCACAGTGAGAAACAATGAAGGGACCTGCTCTGAATGGACTTAAGTGACAAAGAAACATAACTTCATCTCCAAGTCCTGAAATATACAAAGTAACTGAGAACCAGGTCCTCTCCTAATGAGATTCATTCTTTCAATTACTTCTCGAATGAGCTCCTCTGGGATCATAGGGAATCTCATCCAAAAGAAGAGTTATGGTACACACTAATATATATGGTATGGGGACTAGAGAGCTGGCTCAGCAGTTAAGAGCACTGTTCACTCTTCCAGAGGACTTGGGTTCAGTTCCCAGCACCCACATGGCAGCTAACAACCACCTGTAACTCCAGTTCCAGGGGATTCAATGCCCACTTTTGCCTCAGCAGGCATTGCATGCATGTAGCATTATGCTACTCATAAATGCAAGCAAAACACTCATATAGATTAAAGACCAGCAATTTTTTAAAAAGATATATGATGTGCCTAGCTATATACAAGTTATTAGTTACCCCCTTCAAACCTCAATAATAGGATTTCATTTTTTTATTTTATTTACAAATTTAAAGAAACTGGTCTCCAAGCCTGTCTGGTATTAAGAGACCAAGAGGGGAGAAGTGTTATTGTAGTTCCATGGCAGTATCTTCAACAGAGACAACACGAGAAGACTTCTGTTCAGTGTTAGTGCTCATTTAGCTTATCCATACCAGCTCTATGCATCCCGTGTCTTTATCACGGTCTCTCGTTTCCCTAATGAAACATAAACCATATCCCAGACTCACATCCATGAAAACAGGAGGCTACCTAGAAATTTTTCAGATTTCTTTTTTCATTTTGAGGGGTAGGGGCTGATTACAGTCTGATTTTTGATGGAGTCTTGCTGTGTAGCTCAGGCTGACCTTGAACTCATGATCCCCTTGCTTCCACCTCTGGAATGCTGGGATTGAAGGCATGTAACACCATACCTAGCCAGAATGGGTTTTAGAAGCAAATGAGGCATTTCCTATCAATAAGTTCTAGGCAGT